AGCACAGTTACTATTGAAAAACTGAGGGAAGGCACATCCTGAAACTTGTCCTCTTCTGTGTATTTATGTAAGAGCCAGAGCCATTTAAAACATAATAAATAGAATGAGTCACTAATTACAACAAAGGAGACAAAAGCTTTGCCGTTTTTAATCTCACAGCTTCTGCATGCCATCCCTGACTGCCAAGGGCACCCAGCTGATCATTAAATAACATCAGCTAAAGTTATTGTGCTTCACAGAGCAATAGCTGGATTTATTTATTTATTTTTTTAGGAAAATGGTGTCACTGAATGGGTGACTGATAGGTCATTATTTTGAAAGTAAAAAGACCTGTGGGCTGTCCTTCAGCAGAAGGAAAGCAAGATTATTTACAATGTGAAAACATGTAAAGTGAGAAAAAATATGCTGGCTGAAGGAGAAGAAGAGCTAGAACAGAAGATGGTATTTCAAGGGTTGAGGAGGAAACTAGCATACTTTTAATGAGTCATAAATCAGCTTGATATGAATCCTCTCAGCAGAGCTATTAGACCAAAGTGTTTTGAACCTCATTAATTTACAAAAAGGAGTAGCTATCTGCTAAGTTTACTGTAGCATCAGATTTTCTCTGAGCCGCCATCATCATGGTCCCCAGACAACCAGCTCACATTCTAACCTAATGCAGATATCATCAGTGCTCAGTTTGTATAACTTTCATCACAATTGCAAATATTTTCCAAATGTTTCATCATCTTAATCCCAATCATTCTTTTCTTATATAAAATAGAAACATCCAAGAAAACACGCAGAAGGACTTTGTGAAAATCAGTAATAACTATTTGAGTGAGAATGAATTGCTTCAAAAGTATAATTGAAATCTTTCAGTTTTATCTTCAGATCATTCATCTTTTGTTTTGCCTGTCTTTTTTTTAAACTAAGCTCTAATGCACAATTTGAACATTTAGTAAAACTGGCAGTTTTCATGTGTGAATTACAACTTTAAGCAGTGTTGAGAGCAGTGCAGCTCTTGCTGGGGAAAACAGAACATAAAACAAAACACCCATTACCACTGCATAAATACTGTGTTGTAAGCTAAATTGTGCAGTGAGACAAATTTCTTTTTGACAGCTTCTTGTTTTAGTGCGTCCTATTATGCAACCTAAGCTAATCTTTGTAAATGGTGTTTGAATAATAAAAAGGACAGCTTAGACTGGCAGGACTCTCCACTGACACCTTTGAGGACATATTATACATGTAACAGTGCACTGACATTGGCACGGACACTTGAAGTTAAGCAATTCACAAAAACTACAGAAATTCGTATCATTAAAAATATTTTCACACCATCAAGTCTGCTTTTGGATAAAGCTCATTTTATTCATGCCTCCTGAGCAAAAAATAAAATATATGAATCCATATTTATGGAAGACACAGGAAGATGCAATTTTATATTTTTGTGGATTTGTTCTAAAGGAGACGATGTTTTTTATTATTTATGAACCCAAGCATTCATACTTAATATTGCTTTAGACAATGATAAGTGAAGAATAGCACAATACTTTCACAGGAATGCTGTGGTAACTCCACAATTTTATTGCAATATTCCAGTATACACTTTAATCAGAAAACTGGATGGAATTCAGCAACGACCATATGTTACAGCATATCAAATGTCAAAAGATAAATCAAAACAAGCGTCCAGAAAATCTGAGTCCACTAGGACAAATGGCTGTTTGTTTGTTCTTTTTTTTAAATCACATATCAGGTTTGTATTTTGACTCTAGCCAGGCATGCTGCCAATTAAATAAATGACTCGCACAAAAAAACAAAAAACAATACTTATTCCTTTGCTGATTAAATTCTTCAATATCACACATTCGTCTGAGATTCACGACATGTTTCAGCTTTCAAGGAGAAGTAGCAGGCCAGGCACAAAGAAAACTATCATCTGAGGGAGAAATTATTTTGCTGCTTTCAAACAACTTTTCTCGTTTGTCACAATTTAAATGTTCATGTTTCACTGAGTTAAAACTACTGAGTTTGCTCTATGACAGTATGCTGCTGCATAACACTGCTGACCTCAAGCCCTCTGACTGCTAAAGCATCAGAGAAAGGGACCTTTTCTCTGAAGTGGATTTGATGTAAACCAACATGAAAAACATTCCTTTTCTCTCCCAATGGACAAAGCACTCAAATCGTCATCTGAGCCTGTAAAAAATGCAGGGCTGCAGCTTTGATATGTTTGGCTGCTTCATCACAGATTAATGACCAACTTTACACCACTTCGCTGTGATTCAGTTTTTTAAAAGCATGTCATGTAAAAAGAACACACTAGTAAGAAAAAGGCATAAATTAAATTTTTCCTTAAATTATTTTGTTTAATTTTATTCATAGTTAAGCTCTTTAGGATTGAAGGTTATCACTAAATCTTGAATTATGGGGTCTACTGGTTCATGACATTTTCACATCAAAACTTGTGCAGGCGTGACCGTTAATTTTATAAGCTATTAATTCAAATATAAAACAGACAATTAAGCAACAATAAAAATGTGAATGATTCAAATAATGTTGCCAAATTAGAAAAAAAAGATTATTGCCCAACACTGAACAATTTGTGATCAGTGATGAATTGAACTTTGAAGTCACGATGTTTATGATTAAACTAATGACTACCAAAACAATGGGATTCTGCTTTAGCTCCAGAAACACAGACAGGATAGCATCAAGTACTTAAGCTTGGCAGGAAATTATCAGTGCAGAAAAAAACAGAAACAAGCTATGAATATGAAATTATGGCTGTGATTAAGATCATTTTAAGAGGGATTGACATTAACCTTATCTTAATATGTTAATCTGGGGGTTTAGCCTGAAGTATACCAAGCGAGAAAAGAACTAATCTTACTTCAGATGACTTTTGGACTGCTGGTTCTTCCTGTTGTGAATGGATAGCTTTCCCTCAACACAGTAAATACCAGACTGCAGGTTCACTGAAGATGGTCTGCTGGCTTCGGCTAAAGAGCGGGTTGGTTGGCCGGCGTAGTCAAAAACATGTACAGTATTCACCAAGTGTTTTACTCGGAAAAGCTATTAGAAACAGCTTTTGAAAATGTTGTCTTGTCAAAAGAAAAGGAAAAGTAATAGTTATTATTATTATTTTTTTTTAAGTCTCAAACATAGAAATCCCAACGCCGGATTGGTGGCTTAATGTTTACATCCAGTCTGTACAGCCTTCACCCAACTGTAAGCCAATGCAACTGATAAGTCTGGATATAAATAGAATCTCTCCTTCCTCCAACCTTTTCCACCAATACTTAGATTTTACCTTGTCAATTTCCCACACACATTCAATCTTATTCAATTCAAATTTTTCCAGCTCTGTTTCTGAAAATTTGTTAGAAACAATTTCCCTCTATCAAGATGCAGATTTATAGTCTCAGTTTTCTGACATTAGATTTGTCAACAAGGGTGCTGTACATTGAGAGATGGTTTTAGTCATAATGTGTTTGTAACATGTGTGTTTATGTTGTTTTTCTTTTTATGTTGTACCCACCTGCCAAAACTGTCCTCAAAACATCAGCACACCGTATATTCTGGGACCATTTTCTGTACTTGTACAACTACACCATCAGTTCCTGAAACATTGAGCTCCCGCTGGCGTGCATCAACAACCATGCTATGTTCAAACTCCCTCTAGTCCTCTTTCCTCTTCATCATAGCCAAGCTGCAACAAATGCTCTTTACAGCCATCTGGATATTTAAATGTAGTAAGTTGCTCTCATGTGATCGGCAGATCAGCCATTACTGTTAATAAACTGTGGAACAGGCTTACTTAATGAAGTGGCTGGTAAATGTAATTGAATAGGAATTGGACCCATTTGTCTGGTGAGGTGCTTCAAGACTGAATCTGTTGTGAATCGATGCTGTATCAATTATTCTTTTATTCAAGAAACAGAGCTCAGTCATCAGACAGACTACACTACATACTATAAATGGGTTGGTACATATCAAAAAGCAGCAGAGCTATGAGAAACAAAGCCTTGATTATCATAAGATTAGTTACCCGGAAGAGATCATCCAACTAAGATCACTCCAAAGTGATTCACAATCAAAAAGAAAGATAGCAGTAAAAATAATTGATTTTTTCAGTGAGTTTAGTTAACATTTGTATTCTTAAATGAAGTGTTAACAGCAGCTGTTAACACCACTTCTTTGAAATAATTTATTTCTTGTATATTCCAGAAATTTGCTGTTTCAAAGCACAATCAAGTAACTCTGTAACCTACAGAAGATAGAAAAATGATCTACACATAAACAAAAGAAATTTGATGTTGCAATTTGACATCTTGAAATTGATCCACTTTTATGTGTAGGTTGTGTACAAAGGAGCCAGAAGTCTAAAACAACATCTCAATGTGAAACATGTAGCAAGCACAGACGTCTCCAATGGTCATGTCAACATTCACATGCCTCATTACTAAGAAAGTATTTTTTTCCAACGTTACCTCAGTTATCGGGTTTCTAAAATGCTTGAAAATTGAATGAGTGTAATAAATAGCACATTGCAACAATCTGATGGTTGAATTAACAAATGGCAGCAAAAATGACTTTGAATTGAAACTGTTTCTTATTTTGTTTGAAATATTGTTTTCCTCTAAAATGTTAATTGAAATGATCTATTACAGAGTACTATTAATTTGATAAAAATTCAAGTCCCACCACTTATTTATTTATTTGATGCTAAAATGCTCTTCAAGGACTGGAGCCACAGTGGCTGATACAGCAAGTCTCTAACATGCTGTCCAACAAAATGAGGTAGAAAATCAACCATTTAACTCTGAAATAATGAATCCGTGCCATCAGTCCTCTATATAACCTCTTCCTAATGAAGCATTTATTCAAAGTAGAGCACCAATTAAAGTTTTCTGTTGTGATGCATTACATGAGTGCAGCATTAGATCATTGATGTGCTCCTTTAGGTGTGAAATTTGCATTATAATTGTCAACATGTCCATGCATTTCCTTACCAGGGAGGTGAAGATGTAAGTGTAGTAGACAGACAACATCCCCAACTCTGATGCCTGCAGGGAAACAGGGAGAGGAGTAAAAAGTGAGAAAAATTTATCATCTGCAAAGACCAGAACAAAATTAAGGAGAGTCTTTGGCAGAAAAAAAAAAAGTGTGAAGTTGAAAGTCAGACACCCAAACATGTGGGGAAGAACAAAACATAAGGCTGTGAAGAAGAAATAAGGAGGGAGGAAAAAGTTGAGAGGTCACTGAGTAATGTAACTGGACCTTCATCTGAGCATGCAGATCAAATCCACGTCTTGATAAGCACTGATGCATCATCATCTAACAAGACCTCTCGATGGAGCAATTAATTTCTGAGCTCCATTGGTATGCTGCTCGACACTGTCACACAATCTGATTAAATCAAAGTCGGCGATGAGCAGCTGCGAAGGGCAGGTTGAACTTTATAAAGATTATTTCCTTAAAACACATGGTCTGAACATAAATTCATTAAGATGGAGACTTTAGTTTAATCAAGCTGGACAGACAAGTAATCTAAAATCCATAAATTTCAACTGCATTTGTAGGTACAAAGGGATTCAATAAAAAAATTAAAAAAACTCTAATGTATGACTCAGATGTGCCACATTCTAAGCTTATCCTTGCATATTTATTTTTTAAAGCAGAACGTTTTGATATTTTCATGTTCAAAATTTGCACAATGAGCACCTCAAACATGAAAATGATTTGAGGATTTTGTGTCAAAGAAGAATAATGTCTAAGAATGCTCCTGAATGTGTGCTGTTATGAATCAAGAGTATTCAGATAAGGTGTAAAAAAAGAAGCTCAGAAAATTATTTTCTAAGAAGTATAACGCTACTAAATATTACAGAAAAGCAGCAGATACACTTTTTTATGACAGAACTCCAAATAAACTCACTGCATCCTCAAACATCGTGCTTTTCCGTGTGCACAGTCATTTTAAAACAACATCAACGACGCTAATTATAGCTTTATGACAATTATTGGTTGGCATTTACCCTTTAGTTTCTCACAAAAAAAGCAAAGCTCAAGGATGAAAAACTGTTGTTTTTCTGATGCAGAAAATTATACATAACAATGCGTGACATATTTTCTTTGGGTGACTACCACTTTTAACAACATACAGCAGGGTTCACATTATGATGTATGGTTGCTGCACAGATTTCATAGAGAGAGCGGAACATAAACAAAACAATCACAGGATGAAAAATGAAACCCATTTACTGCCTTTAAATAATGCTTCCTGCTTTCTACAATTCCTTTAGGACAAACCCTGAAGACCATCTGAGACTGACAGATTTGTAGTGATTCACTTTTGACATGTTTGGCATCTCTGAGCTAAATCACAGATTGGATTTCAAAGCAATCTGCTGAAGGATTGCCTCTTAAAAATATCATATGAAGAGCACAGAGAGTAGTGTATCCAGTCACACTACAAGCACACATGTTGATGTTTATTTAGGACTTTTGTGATGGACCAACACAAAAGTGCTGCATAATTATAAAGTTCATAGGACATGAACACGTAATTTTCAGCTATAATAATCTATTACTTTCCCCAAGTAAAACTCTTGTAAAACCAACAGACTTCAGGAGTTACCTGTTTAGAAATAGAGTTCGAAATGCAATTTATTACAATATAAACAGCTATAAAGGCCTTTGTTTTTATAATAACAAAGGCCTAGTCAAATGACATAGTCAGTAGTTTAAAAATAATCCCAATGGACTAAGGATCAGCTTGTCCAAATCAGCTGATAAAGCAGATTAATACAGAGTATATCTGCTTTTCCACCTCTTCAAGAATATGTTTGCTTTTCCAACATGACTTAGGGGATATGACATCCTACAGGTGAGGAAACCAGTACAGATAACAACATCACAGAGCTGCAGTTTCAAAAAATATGATGGGGGAAGAGAAAACCAGGAACAAGTCTCCCCAGGAGGCATTTTGAGTTATTGACGTATTCTGAAAGTGAGGATTCTAAGCTTTATAATGATGTCAAACAAATGAGAGAAAAAAAAATGGAGGAGGTTTGGCCATTTGAATGTTGGCACATTACAAATCAGATCACTGAAAGAACAAAGCTTCAGAGGAATCGTCCCCAGACCTGATGAACTGAAAGGGGGTATTGGAAAAAGGCAGTTCCTTTAGAGTATGCAATAACTCCAACCCTCAGCACTGACTGTCAACAGCTATTACTGGGAAAGAGTGCAAACAAAAGCGAGCTTTTGTCTGATTTATATAATATGTTTAGACGTTTTCAGCTTTTGTTCCATTTCCAATCAGGCTGTGAGCTTCTGTTTTGTGAGCCTTTGTCATGGAGTCATCTGTGAATAAGACCTAATACACGTTTCTTGGGATTTCCCGAGGCACTGCTTATGTATATGTTTTGATTAAAATATAAAATTTCAAACAGAAATGTCAAATATTTAGAGGACAGCAATAATATTTTAGAGCTATTTGTGATTAAAAAAAAGAAGCAAAAAAGAAAGATAACAGATAGAACAAATATCCTCTTGCATCAGTAAATATATCAATTAAGGCAACAAAAATTGTCCATCTTTGCTAATTCTGAATAACATTTCTGCTGGTGTCTGCACATCTCCATCGTTGCACAATTTGTATTCTAACTTATTGACTTTTGAATGCTAACATACACATTTTGTACATTTTTAACCTACTCAGTGACTACACAGTATTTATGTTGAATTTTTGCCTGTACTGTACAGTATGCTGTTCTTTATTCTGTTTTATATATTGCATATTCTTATCTTTGTAGGAACTGACTTGCTTTGATTGCTTGGCTCTTTGCTTCTGTCGCATTGAAATGTCCCCAATATGGGACAACAGAGGAATTTGTATTCCTACAGTTTGGAGTAGAGAGCTGATAAAAAGAATCAGGTTGTTTGTGTACATTACGTCACTACTCCACGACCAGTTCCTGCGTAAGGGGAAGATAATAATAAGTACATGTTAGATTATGTTTACTTTCAGTCCAAAGGCTTGAATGGTTTACATACTTTTAAAGGCACTGTGGGTAAAAAATACACAGCAGAATGAAAAGTGAAATTATGAGGAAAAACATGAATATATATTGTGTGGAAAAGTAAACTCCAAACAGAAGGAGCAGAGACAAAAACGTAAAAGAGACATGACTGTATGGACTCCTGCTGCTACCAGCACAGAGCTTCTGAATGAAAGAAATGAATAAAATCTTCTCCCTCTCGCCCTCTTTTCTCTCCATTTAATGTTAACTCCTCTCCAGACATCCATTTACTGAGTTTAGGAAACAATGTGGAGCATTTTTCTTTAAAAGAGGAACAACGCTATCACGTCTTCTTCAGAACCCGTGTGTCCATTAAAAGGTAGAGAGGTTCACTTCATGATGAAATCCTGGGTGTTAGTAATATTCTGAGACATTAACTACTCATATGTTCCATTAGTAAAGAAGCACAAAAAGGTCACTCATACATAGAGGCAGGAAATGACTAATACTGTCTGAAAGCTCTTTTTCTTTATAGCTTTGCATACTGCATTTACATTGTATTTAAAAAAAGATCCCTTTGGAGTAAGGATCCAACAAATTCATTCAAAGCATTTTGTTTCACTTTACATGTGTTTCAATCCTGCTATATTCCACATTAAAAAGAGAAAAAAAGCCTGATCTATTATGACCCAGTTGTCATAATGCCCACCGAATTCTTTAAACTTTATTTCTATGAGTCGATGCCCTCATTCATTACTAATTGCAGCTGATTTGTGTAGCACTGGTACAGCTCAGTTATTTTTCTAACTTTCTGGGACTAAACAACCAGAAGGTTAATTATTTAATTTTTTTGTCAATCTTATGATCTAAGACAAAACATTAAATTTTGTGGTGAAAATGATATTTATCTTATTTAGAGTGATATTGAAAGTAAAAAAGCAAAAAAAAAAAAAAAAAAAGTCATGTGGTTAAAAAAAGGACATACCTGTTTTGGTTACAAAATAAAATGTAAAATGTTTCATGCGCCTTGCCATTTCTTTGCATGTTGTAAGAAATATATGTAAAAACTCAAGTCAAGCATGTAGAGTCACAGATAACATGAACGTTATGCGACATATACTTACCCGTTCTAAAATGATATGTGACATGGTGGCATTGGCGTCCACTATGATGGTGGCCGTCTTGTCGTCACGGATCTCTTTCAGGAGAGGGGTCGGGTCCTGGCTATCATCCAACATGCGCACTGACAGGGTTTCCTTAGAGATTAGGAACTGTCTGAGCAGCTGCTCCAAATTCAACAAGCCTGTCAGTGAAAAATACAGAAAACACATATGAGGATCGTATGTCTGAAGATGACAAATATTTAAACATTTCAAATATTGTTCTATTAGCTCTTTTATGTCTGTCTTGTTCTGCGCTATGTTTCAGATTTATTATCTTTTTCATTCATTCTACTCCTGCCTGCTGCAACCAGCTTTCCTTCATTGGCAATGGTAGCTTTTCTTCCAGCTCACTAGTTTAAAGTCAGCCTAAGCACCTTGCTGCTTTACTATCTTCACTGGGGCGAACAGATGTCACAGTGACACAATGGTGGAACCACAGGATACACGAGGGCACCCATAAATGTCAATACACCCTGCACAGCGTTGCAGAGACGACATCTGACATCCTTCGTGCAAAACTAAAACACAACTCCAATCAAACTTCCTGAAATGCTGGTTCTGTTCAGTCCAGTTGTAAGGCGTCCTCGAGGTCTGGCGGACCTTCATTCATTGCTTAAACTGACAACCATTGGAAACTGACTGCAACACACCGCTTTCCTTGTGATGCCTTTCCTAAATGTGCCAGCTGACTGCAAACTGAATTGGTTCTATTCGTTGATAGGGACGAACATGGCAAAAATATGATCAGTCTAATCACAATTTTATGACAATTTCAAGAAATAGAGCCCTGAAATAAAATAAAAAAATGTTTCTAACTGATTTTTAGCCCATTTGTGTAGTTTTCCAACTTGCACTGGGTATACCTGATATTTAATATTTGAGCCTTCAAGTACGCTTTATATTAATATTGTTCTGTCAAAGTCATATTTTTATTCCAAAAGTAAACAACACAAACATTTTTCACGTTTGACATATGAAAATGTGTCTCATGATGGGAAAAGACTAAAGAGTTTTAAACAAAACTTCATCTACACAATGAAACAAATTTTTCAAAACGTATTCTTTTTTTATAACACCACTGAATGAGCACACGACTGCGATTGTTTATGTCCAGCACAGACAGAAGTACAACTGTTTCCTGTGTTTTTTACAGGAATTATATAACTCTGCGCATGAATGTGCTTCTATTCTGAATAAAGCCTGATGTGTGCACATAATAATCAGATTATTTAATTGACTGTTTTGCACAACAAAACCACAGGACCCTACTTATGGACAATGTCAAAAATTGTCTACTTTGTCAAAGGTCTGCATCTGCACCAAGCTAAATTCTGTTTAAGATGGTGTAAATCAAAGGCGACATAAACACAAGTCTGAAGAAACTGTGGTGAACTCATTACCCAGATGAGGTAAGAGAATCCTAATTAAAGCAGGTCCCACTTAACCAAAACATTCCTGGCAGTCAGTCTTACACTAGGAGTCCTTGTGATGCTATTAGTTCATTTTGCATAAATGAGAATAAACAAATTTTTAAGGTGTGCTATGGGGAAAAATACAAACTGAACAAGGCTGTCAGGGCCAGATTTGCGGTTGCACTGTTGGTATTTACCTGACCTTGAAATTTACTCTTCCCATCTGTTTTGTATTCTGGTGCCAACCACAGATGACATGATGCACAGGTGTGATGTGACTCGCAAACAGGGGGAACCTTTATGCAAATTAAGCAATGCTAACTAAGTTCAATCATATTCTGATGGAAAATATCCTTCAGCCTCATTGTTGTATAAGGAAAGTTTTTAAAAAAAATATGCAACAATAATATTAATATGTTGGAATTGCTTACTCTCACTGCAAGTGTACAAACATTGTCCCTTTGAAATATCTTCGGCTTTTGTTTTCTTGCCATCCTCAAATGATCCTCAAATTATAATATTTTAAGATAACCTTAGTACATTCAAACTGAGGTTTTAAGTTCTTTTTTTATTATTATTATTTATTAAGGGATACAAGCTATCAAGACTAACCTGACTAAAAAGTAATAATTTCCCTTTTCACAGAATATTTATAAGAATGGTGACTTCAGATCTGTAGAATCAAGAAATCTTGAAGTCAGGCTAAGAAGGATGAAAGATCAACAAAGCCAACATGGCTTACTCCCCAGTCAAGAAATTCAAGAAAAGTTAAGAAACAGCTTTTGACAAATTTTATTATTCTACAAGATGTTACCAAATGCTTTGAAAGACTCTGAAAACACCAAAATAATTTCCTGCTTGGGAACCATCCATCAAAAGGGTCAAGAATAGGTAAAGCGGTGCAGCTCTAACTTGATGTCTAAAGGAATAAGTCCAAAAAGAAAAACAAAACAAAACATTCACAAAGGGCCCAGCTCACAAAACCCCAAAATTTCAGAAAGAGCATCAAAGAAATTAGTGTAACAGCATTGTGATGATCAAGGGCTTTTATGCTACCTCAGAACCTTAATGTGTTGGAAAGAGATTCTTATGGCCAATTAATATATTTATGTATTCAGTATTTATCAGCATTTTCACAACAACTGAAAGTGACATAGATAGTTCACTTTGTTATAAAATGGCAGTATGTCCCTGGAAAATACATAAATTCTGTTTCCCACCAGAAATCTTTAAGGATAATGGCTGGTTATGAGTTTGTGACTGGAAGTTCAAAACCCTGAATTAAAATGCAAAGCAAGAAATGTGAACCCCAAAAAGGGCATGAAAGACTGAGATCTCAAATGTTTGATGGCAGGATAAGCAGGTTTATACAACCAAAAGGAGGGATATGAAAACCACACATTGTATTCATCTTAAAATTTGTGATGCAAATCATACATTGCTTGACAAAAACATTCCAATAATGAACGTATTTCTAAGCAAGCAGATATTTTTTGAAACTACTTAGTTTGTTTAAGCTGACATTTAAATCTCTGTTTATTAAAGCTGAAGTATAAGTGTCACTTGTAAATTAATTGCTTATATTTAAAAGCAACGTGTTGTCATATTAAACCTGCAGGCTGTGATCTGAAATCTGTCTCTTCACACCCGTCGTCTGTGTTAACCATCATTAAAACATCTAACAATGACAACATCCTGCTTTCAAAAACATATGCTGTGTTTTATGATTAAAACAGTCATCTAAAGAGTAGTAAAGCACAGCAAGTCACAGCTTCACATGTCTCACCTTGACAATTTGGCAGATTTTATCGTATTCATGCAAAGTTTGCTGATATTGATACAAAAAATGTCACTGAAAGGACATGACTTTATAGAAAATAGTTTGCATTTCCACAATTACCTGTTGACACTTTGGCATCAACAGATATTTATTGTGATTTTTGCCATGGTGACAGCAGAGCAATTTATCCGTCATGCGGAGACCAATTTTGCTGAGGCTATTTCAAGTTATCAAACCCATTCCTTCATCTTCTCCAATAAATTAACATCAGCTGCTGGGCTTCTCAGCTACCGACATCATGTCTAAGAGAGTCTATAATTAAGTCCCGGTCTGAATGTCTTATGGCCTGCTGTATTTATGGCAGTATCAGTGTATGTGTTTGTTTTTATATAACCTTTATGTGATTACTCCCGAGACATCAGTCCCAGCTGCTGTTGGCTTTCCTGTCTGTGTCTGCAAGCTGCAATTCAGCTTCCTCTGTTGTGTTACACTGAATCACTTTGATGAGCTTGAAATAGCCTCTTTTACGCCGCCTTCCTGGTCTGCCTCCTGCATCCATTGACTACTGTTTTACAGGCCATCAAATACCATTTCCCATTGAGTTTGTGACAATAGATGGTTTCAGAATGCCATGCAGCTCAGCCTATAACGAACACGCACAATAACAGAGACACTGAGAACAAAGAACATACAGTGTGCTGGATTCTTGCAAGATGTGTTTTCTGCAAAATAAAACCAAGTGTTAATCAAATGAATGAACCTTATGCCTTTAGATAGAGGGAACATTTATGAGAAAGGGTTGTTAATGTGTTAAAGAAATAATAATAATAATAATAATAATAATAAAAAAACTAGAATTGCCTGTGCTTTGTTTGAAGATAGCTATAAAGATAACACAACATTTCAAAGAATGCCTGTACATCTCTTCCTATTCTTCTTGTCTTAGACTATATTTTTTTGGCTGCACTACAGAAGAAATAGTCTCAACAGTAAGGGATATGAAAGTGGTTTGTACTTTTCTTTAGACTACTGTTTATTGGAGAAATATTACAGCTGTTTTATTCTCACATATAAGAGCAATATCTGCTGCAGTCCCTGAACTACTGCTGTTATTAAAGCTACTACAAATATGAGATGTGGCTTGATCTTGAATAATGGTTTCTCTGGTAAGTTGATGAAAATATAATATTCTCTTGTTAGTGTGAAGTGTTATTGTGCATGTACCTCAATTTGCATGTTAACTGCAGTTAGCTCAGTGCTAAGCATGAAGGGTTTTAACATTTTTACTGCCTAATTCAATGTTTTGCAATAGCCATTACAGCTTAAATTTGAAAGTTGATCATTTTCAATTTTGTGGTATTTCCAGATACTGAACTATTTCTACTAGAAAATGTTTATATTTCTTTTCTTCATTATTGATGTGGGTAAGTTACTCAATGTTATTAAATATGAGAATCTTATGTCAACTCATGCCTATGTGTGATTGTTTAGCATACCTTTAACTTTAGAAAATGGAGATACCTTATATCACTTGAAAATAAGTTTGCCAGATGAGATGCTGCACTACTACACCAAAATCACATGACATTGCTATAAGACTGTTGAGTTAGAAAGCATTATGAATTCCATAATTCCACTCTGAATGCAAGCAGCAGAAAATAGAGCTAAACAATAGTGTTACTCCAGTCATTTGAGTCAAACATCAAAAGCAGATGCCATAGCTCATTATCAAAAGGTGAAACACAAGGGGGAGGAAAGTTTGCACAATGCAGTTATTTATTTCTCACAAACTCTTTTTCCAATTGCTGTGAAGCCAAATCAACCCCTCGCTGCTATGCATGCCTCACACTTGACTCCAGCAGTTCAGGCATTCGCCATGTTAATATTGATATGTATGAATTACTAAATCTGAGCTAATCAGATTTTCAAGATGAAGTGGTAGAGAAAA